TTTAACCGACTACCGACAACTTTGACCGGTTAACGTTGATACGGTCAACCACCGGTCAAACGGTCATCGGTTAACATCCCTAGTTTCATCTCAGCGCACCCTGTGGTTCCATTTCCTGCAGAAATGTAGCAGTTTTTAATACAGTAAATATACAGTGAGAAAAGTTTACTGTGGTCAGTGGTATGGTGGAGTTGCTTTTGGTTTTTAATTAAAGAAGGGCAAACTTACATTTAACCAGGGGTTACAATGCTGAACTGTTGCAAAGAACACCTGGTCTATGGAAAAATAAGATAAATATATATAAATATATATACGCTGAGAAGGCTTGATTGATACAGTTACCCAGAAGTAAGTTCTCTGTGTGCCGTTTTTGTCGATTATAAACGTGGATGCAGACGAATGCAGTTCTTAATCTCTTCTGTCCAGATGTCTGCTTGGTGTCTGGGGCCCCCAGTATCTGCAGATCTGCTCAGATTGGGTGGGTTGAGACAGATTCTGACAGGATGTGTTTCTAAGATTTGGGGGTCTGGGTGTTTTTTTTTTTAATACGCCCTTTTTCCTGCTGTTTCTTAGTCTGGTCCGTGTCCCGTATAGAGTGGCCCCCAGTCGGGCTCGATGGCAGGAGGCCTGTGAGCTCCAGTGGGCCTCGTGTGCTGCGTCCAGCAGCCCGTCTAACCCCCAGTCCGCCTCATTTTCCCAGTACAGCCTGGCTGGCTACTCTGCTCTGTGCCATCTCTCTGTCGCCTTGGACAGTAGTGGTAGTGGGATATGTTTGTCTGAATTATAATGGACGTCATGGTTATTCCAGTCCCACTGGCTTGGCAGCGCTGTGCTTTCATGGTTTCGGTCGAAACCCCCAAAAATTCTGCGTTTGTAACATTTAACAAAACCAACATGCAAATTAAGAATCAGATGTGTGGTCTGTAATGTTTTTGCCTGCTCCTAATGACTGTTTTTTTCCCCCATTTTCTTTGGCCAAGTAGACAAACGGCGTGTTGAATTCCAATTTCCCTCATATCTGAGGATTCTCTCGGTACGTTCTTGGGGCTGAAGCTTGGATACTTTGCTTTAGCTTGTTGTATAAGAAGTTTCATTGACTCCACAGATGCAGAATCATGTTTCAGGTGTCAAAAAATATTTATCAGTATTGCCTTCATTCATCCAGTGTTATAGCCGGAGCCCAGTGGTATTCTTAGGTGAGACTTCTGAGCCGTTTGAAAGACAGGCCTAGAAACAGGGACAGTTCTTCAGCACAAGTCACTTTGTGTTTAGTCCATGGGGAATCATGTCTGTGTGACTGGGAGGAGGTCCTGATGTGTCATCACCGGAGAAGCTCTTTAACTCTGGGAAAAGAAAAAATGCTTGTATGCTCACAGATGCCGATTTAGTATGTTGGGGAATGCAGCAGGTTAACTTTGAACTTTTTCTTTATTCCTTTGATCATTAACACGTCTGTGGGATTTCCACGGCACCGGAGACACCTGAGAATGTTTTAAAGAAGCGTGGGGTTTGCCGTGCGATCTCGGCCTGCGATCGTGATGAACCTGAGCGAATGCTCGGTCCTCCTGCCCTTCGGCACGTGGCTCGGAAGCCATATTCTTAAATGGGCCCGCTTCCTGCGGGTTCGTGGGTCGATGCACCAGTTGCGTTCGGTAACTGGTGGCGGGGGTATGGAAACCGTCAAGTCGCTGACGGGCCGCCGTGGTGGGGGGGGTGTGCGTGTTTGGCACCGGAGCGGGGCGATGGAGCGTGTCTCTGACGTGGCTGCCCTGGGACGTGGCAGGAAGGCACCGGGCTGTGACAGTGCTGCCCGCGACAGGCCGCATCCAGCTGGCAACGGGCACAGCTATGCCCCTTCATGCTTGAAAATAGCAGCAGGGTGATACAAGGCCTGGACAAGCGCTCTTCAGGGAATGCCCCACAGGGCTGTGGTTTGTCGTAACATTTTTATTATCATTATTAGCGTAGCGGACGCTGATCGGAAGCTGTTTGCAGTTCTTTTGCGGCCCCCTTCCTCAGATTAAACAGCTCTGCGGTTCATTTTGCAGAAGCCCAGGCTGATGTTCCACTGTTGAGGTTTGCCCCCACCCTGCCGCCCTGCCACGTGCTCCCTGTAGATGTGATGTTGAATGACGTGGAGAAATGCGTCGCTGCAGCTCGACACGCAGCCTTGCTTCAGCATGCCGACCTCCCTTCGCTCCCCCCCCCCTTTTTTTTTTTTGAGGAATCGTGAGAGCGCCCCGCCGAACGAGCGTGAGTCTGCGTAACATAAATCGAGCGTGACGCTTGGGCCATCTGCCGGGAGCTGCTGATGCAGGGCGTGCTGTGATAGAGTGCAACCCTGCCCCCCCCCCCCACTTTAGGAAATGGCAGAATTATGCGCCTTATATTGCCATACGTGTGCCTCTGACGTGAAATGGGGTCGTGGTTCCGCACGGCACTGTGGATGTTGGGGGGGGGGTAAGTGAGTAAGCGGGCAGGGGCCCTGTAGCCCAGGGTGCTCTTAAAGTACTACGGTATGATGCTGTACTTTTACCCAGCTCCTGTGTAAAGGTCACTGGATTGAATCAGTGTTGCGCCAGTGGTTGTGCCCACTCTCAGGCTGCGATGACTGGGTACCTCCCAGGCAGAGTGACGCAGAGCGCTTGGCCTCATGGGGATTTTATACTTGCCTCATAGCTTGCTTAGCGTAACACACATGTGTTATGTTTCCCGCAAAAGTTTGGAAGGGATATGGGTCTGACTTCCACAGTAGCCCACCTCTCTCGCCAGATTGCTTGGGCATAGCGTTGAAGCAGTACCGTTCGATGGGTGAGCGAGTCACTGACAGAAGGTTTTACCGCAGGCATTTTACTTTCTGTTTATCTGAGTGACGCTTCGCTCCGAAATGGCTTACGGGTTGGCAGATGAGAAGCGTCAGCATAAGGCTAAGTGCAGGGAGCATCGTGCAGTGCTGGCTGTCCCAGGGAGGGCCGGAGCGGGTTTTTGGGATGGCATCAGCCAGTAACAGTGGGTCCCCAGGACTGGAGTTGAGAACCCTGCTTTATTATTGGCTGATGGAGAGGCCATCCCAAAAACTCGCACCGGCTCTCCATGGATCAGGTCCCCCACCCCTTGTACAGCATGGATGCTGGTGGGACAGTTTTATATATATTTAAAAAAAACACATTGGGGTCAGTGGTGAGTTGTATCCATAAGTGGAAGTGCTAAGATCGAGGTTTGGGTTTAAACGTTTGAGTTCTTTCTTGTGGAGGGGCAGGATCAGTTGTCCTTGGGGGCTAAGGGTCCATCAGATGTGGACAGTGTTCTCAGCTCCTGGCTTTTAGACCTGGAGCTGTTAGACAAATAGCTGCAGAGCCGTGTTTCCCAATCTGGTCCTTTCTTTTAGCCTCTGCCCGTTTTGGAGGTGAAATATGTTTTTTTGATAACGCGTTGTAAGCAGTAATGTGGAGCGTCTGGTTGGGATCTGGGAGGGAGCAAAAACGTGGATCGTCTGTGGGTCCCTGAGGACCGGGTTGCGAAACACTGCTGTGGAGGAAGGTGAAGACCTTGAAAAGCCATTAAGGACTGGAGGCTTCTTCTGTCAAGTTAGATGAACTCCCATGTCATCGCCTTGCTTGTTTTTGGTAGTTCATAAAAAGTGATGTGCTTTTAACGTTTTTTTTTTTTTTTTTACTCTAAACGCTGTTCAGTTCTCCAAGTGTTAGTAAACTAAGGTGTCATCTGAACTAGTGTCTTCTGTGAGGGAACC